AACAAGTTTGTTTTCCAGAAGATCAATTTGTTGGTGATAGTCAATATGAAGGTCATAAAGAAGATATATTATGTATTGATAAATCTCAAGGTGATTTAATTGCAACTGGTGATTATGGTGGAACAATTATTATATGGAATATGGCAAGTAAAAAAATATTTGCTTGTCTAAAAGATACTACTGAAAAAAGTAAAAATTCTGAAGGTAAAAAGAAATATTTTAATTATTTATATTAAATATTTTTGTTTCATTATAGAAAATGGAAATGATCGAGTTATTAGTCGTGTAACATTTATTGATTCAAGATTTGGTCGACATGATATAGCTAATTTAATTGCTAGTGGACCTTATGGTCATATTCATTTTTGGAATATTTATAAAAATGGTGTACTAATGGCTAAATTTCGACCGGTAAATATTAACGAAAAAAAAAGAAATCAAAGTTTAAATAAATAAATATTATTTTTAGAATAAAGAAAGAATGACAACAGTAACACAAATAAAACTCGATCCTGCATGTTGTCTTTTATTTGCTGCTGATTCATTAGGTAAAACATCAATTTTTTTTCTCTATTCAATTGTAATATTTTTTTTCTAGGGTTTTTATTTATCTATGAAGTCGAACATTATGCACTTAAATATGAATCCGATCCACCTCGTTGTAAGTTTGAAAAGTTTGTTGTAAAATATATATCTGATTTATTTTTAGGTGTTCGAACTTGGCGTGCTCATATTGATAGTGTAACAGGACTTGAATATATTGATCAAAGTACGTAAGTATTTTTTTTGGTTTTCGTAAAAAGTCAAAAAAAAATGAATTTTTTCAATTTAATTCTAGCTCAAGTACTTATTTCTTCGGCACTCGATTGGACCATACGTCTTTGGAATCTTCAAGGAAATTTTATAGGTAATGTATATTCTAATCTTTATTTCATAGTATTTTAAACAATATGATCTTAAAAAAAAGGAACATTTGGACAAACTATTCCATGGAATTTATATGATCCAGCAACATATCAACATCCATTGGTTCCATTAGATGTACTAACTGATCCAAAAAGTTTACCACAAAATCAACAGATCGTAGAAGAAAAAGACAAAGCATCAGCACCTGTAATATACTTGACATATCTCGAAGTTTTCATATATATTCAAATAATGTAGGTACCAACAATAGTTATACATAAACAAGCTGTTATAGATGATGAAACAATTGCTAATAATGTTCGTGACACACTTGATAAATTACGTCATAGTCACTCAGCAGGATTCCCTGGGAAAAGGTTTCTTATGATTGTTTTTTATTTAATATTTTTTCATGGAGATATTATTTTAGACTTCGATATTTTCGTGAAAAACCTCCTGTTTCGATACGTCGTGATGGTTCAAGTCACTATCAACATTTGCGTTTTTATCCAGTTGATGATAATCCTCCACTATCAACAACAAGCAATACTGTCCATTTTGCTAATACAGTTAAATTATAATTCGATAAAGACGATTTTCATTTTTTAACTTTTGAAACATTTTTCTTTGGTTGTCACGTGTGAGGATGGATGAGACAAATAAACAGATGGTGATTTTGTAAAAATAAAAAAAAAAGAAACAAACAAAAATGCAAGCGCTCTAAGAAATCAAGAAAAAAGCTGACAAATATTCGAAATATTGAAGAAATTGACAAACGAGCAAAACAATAAAATATCAATTATTCTATCGTATGCTCGAGTGTGTCATTGAAGATGATTTAGGTTTTGTATTGTTAAGTTATTTTTTAATTGATGCAATATCACTCAAGCAGTAATGACTCTTCTAAGTGAAGTATATATATACATACATGTTGGTCGATGTTATACGTAAATATATAGCAGAAGAAATTCTTAGATTTAAGAAGTTCGAAAGTAATGTAAAATGTAGAAATAGAACAGAAAAATATCAAAAATAAAAAAGATCTAAAAGACGTTTATACATTAGAATGGACGATTAGTATCGAATATTACATATAGAAGTATGCGCAATCGATATTCAATAATGAGAGAGAAGAAAGACAATATGAACAACTTAGAGTATAAGAGAACTTACTTTTATAGCTTAGTCGATTAGCAATCGAATGGCTCATACGTCGTTAATAGTTACAAAGTGAACAATTTGCTTGTATAATATGTTGTATACATTAATAAAGATTCAACATTAGCTGCAATCTTTCATTATTCTGAAAAATTTGAATCGTTATCGTAGGTAACTATGTCTCGGTATGTTAGTCAAACTGAAAAATCTAAGATCAATATGTTGTCGATTCTCTCGTAACAAACGTTGAGAACGAAAAAAAAATTCATCCTCTTGAATATTTAAAACGCTTTTTACTTTAACACTATAATGTGATTGCACTTGATAAATATTGATGCTTCTAATATTTATTCATTTTATACATTGAAGGCGAACTGAGTAAGAAGAACAATCATTGTAATATTGTAAAGAACAAATACATTCTCTAAAAAATATGAACGAGCATTAAATACTTGTCTACATAAACCTTACTTACAATCATTTCGAAGAACGTAATCATTTTAGAATTTATGCTTCTTCTAACAAATATTCATTGAATTTTTTGTTTTATCTAAATCCTTAATACATAAGTGTGATATAAAATAGTTTATCTACTTTTTCCTTTTTTTCCTCTATCTGCTATTCATATTCCTACTATTTTTTTGTTTTTTTATTTCTCGAATCATTTACTCATGAGATTATTCAACAATTTATTTGTAACAAGTGCACTGAGCACATGCACGTCATCCTTCAGCAGTTATGCAAGATGATGGGTATTTACTTTTTGTCTATGTTCTGTTGTATGTTGTTCGTTCTCTTCATATATATAATTCGACGAAATAACCAGTCTTTCACTTCGTTACGTTTTCTTTCTTCTTTTTCAATTTAAGTTGTCGCCAAGCATATTTTTACTAATACAAGTGGAAAAATTTCCAACGCATGTCTATCAGTGCACTACCTTTGTTTCTAAATTATTCCTTTCATTTAAACATATCCGAATTTGTCGTGCACACATAAGAACATGACTTTTTTTTGGTTGTTCATAAAGGAAAACATAAAATTTGCTATCAAACCTAAAACAAACTGTTTTACGACAAGATTAAATAACTTCGCTGTTATTTATGATATGTCTGTTTTATAACTAGACATTTATAATAACAAGCATTTAAGTGTATTCAAAATAAATAACTTGAAGTTTAATACTTAAAAAAATTATATCAATATACTCTACATTACATCATTTTATTTATTGATCTTTCGTATTTTATTTTCAATCTAAACGCGTTAGTATGTAATAAGAAAAGTTAGTAACAAAGATGATGATAACGATAACTTATATTTATTGAAACACAAGAAATATAGTAACTTAAAGTCTTCCAATAAAAGCGATCAACTATCAAAAGCAAAAGAATTGCAATTGTAAAGAATAAAAATTTGTTAGTACAACAATTTTGTAGTTGACATTCTATTATTATCGAAAGAAATCTGTACACATATGTAATTTGAACATCCAAGTATTATTCAAATACCAAATCTTCCATCAGGAACAAAATCTATTCTATGGGAAACTAATTTGAAAAATGAGGTAATATTATTATTATTTCATTAATGAAATATTTGACTATTTGAATAGAAAGTTAATTCATTGTGGTTTTTTTTTTTTTTTTTAGTGGATATTTGTTAGTTTCGATTCTGATTCCATAACAACATATTCTGTCTATCGTGATTCTTTAAAAGGTCCTCAAATAATGTTTGTTGGTACAACACGTTTACCAATATTTGGTTCAGTACCATTACTTCTTAATACTTGTCTTCTTCTTTTACTTGATTCAAGTGGAAAAATAGTTCAAACTAAATTAGAAACATATGGATTTTTAAATGATTCAGGTGAACAAGAATATACACTTGATGATGCTACAGATCGATTATCGAAAGCTATTCTTATGAAACGGTATTTACTTAAAATAAAAAAAAAAACGAATAATTCATTTTTTTTTGAAAGATATGACGATGCAGTGTTTTGGGCTAAACAACTTAATGATAGTCATGAATGGAATAAATTTGCAACTGCTTTACTTTATTCATTAAATATTGATTATGGTAAAAAAAAAGCAAAAAAAGATAGAAATTTATTTTTAATTGTTTGATATATTTTAGCAATAAAAGTTTTTCGAGAAATTGATCATTCAGGTATGGTTATGGCACTTGAAGAAATAAAAGTAAAATATTTGATTATTTTTTTTTTATACCTGATAAAAATTAAATTTTTTCTTATAGCATGTAGAAGATAAAAATCTTGTTTCTGCACATTTTGCTGCTCTTTTTGGTGATTATGATCTTGCACAAGAATTTTTTCTTACATGTGGTTGTCCACTTGAAGCATAAAATGTAAAAAAAAAAAAAAGAAGTTTTCAAAGAATTTGTTTTTTTAATAAAGATAATCATATTTAGATGCGACGAGATTGTATACAATTTGAAGCAGCAATGATACTTGCAAAAGTTTATGATCCTGAACAAATACCTTATATATCAGCGGCACATGCTGAACAACTTGAATTTACGTACGAAAAAAAAACAGCTTTCAAAAATTATAAGAAAAATTTCGTTTTTATTATAGTGGAGATTCAGGTGCAGCAGTTAAATTTTATGAACAAGGTATAACTAAAAAAGAAAAGGATTTACAATATGATCAAAGATGTTTTATTGGTCTTGCTCGATGTTATATTAAAGTTGGAGATATTAAAAAGTAAAAAAAAAAAAAAAAAAACATTATAAAACGTAATTTTTTTATTTTTTGTGTTATTTATAGAGGTGCTACAATTGCATTACGTTTACCTGGAAAAGAAATAAAAGAAGAATGTGCAAAATTACTTGAAGGATTGAAACAATAGCCTGAAGCTGCAGAATTATTTGAAAAAGCTGAATGTTGGGACAATGCTGCTATAGCTTATATTAAAATGAAAAATTGGTATATATTATAGTTAAAATTAGAATTTGATCAAATTCTAAATTTTTCTGAACAAAATTAGAATTGAATTAGAAGTAAATTATTTAAGTCGAAAACAGTTAGAGTTAGAATAATTTAAGAACTGTTTTTCATTTCACAAAGTATCGTTTTTATCTTCAACACATTGCGTGGAATTCAGCTGAAACTTTGTAGACATAATGAGAATGGCTAACTCTAAAACCCAACACCCTTAGAGTACGAAACTAGGTGTTTTTAATAGCGATATCATTGATCATATGGTTGATGGATCGTTTTGTTAAACCATCAGCGATGTGTTAGAGTAATGCAACGTACGGGCACATAATTTTTTGTTCAAGTCAAGCACGGGTACGAAAACTTGTACGCATACAATACTCGATTGTGAAATGAAAAGAACTCTTTAGTAATTTAAAATCTCATTGTCTTCGGCTTGATCAAATTACTTCTAAATAGACAAAACTGAAGTTCTAATTTTGCTCAAAAACAGTTTTGTCAAAAATCGAATTCTTTTTTCTTTTTGTCTGATTAAAAGTAGAATTCCAATCCAATTTGGATTCTAATATATATTTGAAATTCTCTCAAATTTTGTTCTTTTTATCTTAAAATGGAAATATTGATTTATATTTTTTTATTAAGGGTTAAAGTTAGTGAAATTCTTCGGAATGTTAATACACCAAAGATTCATTCAATGTATGCTAAAGCACGAGAAAATGAAGGAAGATTTAAAGAAGCATGTGCTGCTTATATGAGAGCAGGTGAATGGGAAAATGCTATCAGGTAAAATATATTTTTTTATGTATATAACAAACATTCTTGCATAGTAATAAATTTTTTTTGTTTATTTCCTACGATTCAAATAACTTTATAAGATTGGACTTATCTTTCGTTTTTCAAAATTTTCTATAGTTATCAACAGAAAAGTAGATTAGTACAGGTTGCCGCAAAGATATATTTCTGTGTATTTTGTTAGTTGATTATTTCGAAGTATTTTACTTCGATCGAAGTAAATTTTACTATAGTTTTGTATTCGAAAGCTAAAAACAATGCATTCAAGTAGAATGTTTAGTGTTTAAAAGAAACAATATCAAAATCAATTAAGCTAATACAATTTTGCTTCATAGATAAGTTAAATCTAGCAGTTAGAAATTCTCTAGAATCACAAAATTCATGTTCGAATGATAATCATGACGAATCTAGTAGCTTTCGAGTTTTTTTTTTCTATAAAGTTCTTCCATATATTTTATCAACACATAGAAGGAGTTACGTCGAGGAGAAGTATTTAGTTGAGAGTTAGACCAAGAGCAACACTTAGTGCGATATACCAGCTGTAGCTGAGAACTAACGATTCTGAACTATGACTCGTTTATGATACAGTGAAAATGTATTATATACTATCAATAAATAAATTTCGGTAGTCCATCTTTATTTTTATTTTTTCATTCAGAATTCAACTTAATCAATTAAAATCTCCTGAACAAGCTGTTAAAATTGTTCGTGAAACTCAAAGTATTGAAGGTGCAAAAATGGTTGCAAGATTTTTTGAATCAATTAATGATTATAGTTCTGCATCACAATTTCTTGTTTTATCAAAATGTTATAATGAAGCTTTTACTATGGCACGACAAAATGGCCTTATGGAACTCTATGCTCAAGTTATTGGTAAATAGATAATTAAACAAATAAAAAAGTTTTTGTTTTTTTGTTTTTCCTTTAGAAAAACTTCTTAAAGATGGTTGTGATATTCCATTAGATGATCTTGAAGGTGCAGCAATATTTTTTCAAAATCAAAATAATCATTTACTTGCTGGAAAATTTTTTATGTTTGCACAAAATTATGAGCGAGTATAATTTATTATTATTTTTTTTTTTATTGATAATTAACTTTTTTTTTTTTTTCGTCTAGGCATTAACACATTTAATGCGTTGTACTGGTTCAAATGAAAGTAAAGGTATTGATTTAGCTATAACATGTGTTGGAACAGCACGTAGTCAACAATTAACACAAAGATTACTTGAATATCTACTTAGAGAAAAAGATCAAATACCAAAAGTAAAAATGAATAAAAAAGAAAATTTTTTTTTTATAAAACTTTATCAATAAACAAATTTTATTTTATTTAAGTTTGGGTCAATATGTAGAAGCATCAAAAACAGCTATTATAATTGCTCAACAAGATCAAGAATCAGGAAATTATCGAAGTGCTCGTGATGTTCTTTTTACAATGCATCAAGAACTTAAAGCACAACATACAGCTATACCATTTGAAATGGCTAATAGTTTAATGTTATTACATAGTTATATTCTTGTTAAAATTCAAATTAAACTTAATAATCATGTAAATCACTTTGTTTTTTTTTAAAGATTTTAAAATATTTATATATTATTTAGAATCGTGCAGCTCGACTTCTTAATCGTGTTGCACATAATGTTAGCAAATTTCCAGCTCGTATGTTTAAAACTCATATGGTTTAATATTTAGTTTTTTGTTTTTTTTTTCTCGAATAGATATTGTTCAAATTTTAACAACAACAGTTATTGAATGTCAAAAAGCAGGAATGAATAATTCAACATTTAATTTTTCACTTATACTTATGAGACCCGAATATCGTGAACAAATTGATCCGAAATATAAGAAAAAAATTGAAGCACTTGTTCGGTAAGAAAATTAAATAAAGTCTTCGATATACTAGAAGATTTCCTCTAGCATTTTTTTAAATAAATTATTTTAATTCCTCTAACAGTATATCATAAATTTATTATAATCAGAGTTTGTAAGTTCTATACTTTGCTGTCTCATGAAGCTGTACTGGCAAAATAATTTCTACAGTTTATTGAATTTTTTTAATATTTATATTCATAATAATATCTACATTCAATATAGACAATATTTTGCTTCCGTCATCATAGCAACGTATCAATTCCGAGTTAGAAAACTTTTGAAAAACAGCTAATAGGAGAGAGCAATCTATTGAAAACATACTATGGAGTTACTTCAATACTCTTTTGCAGCATAATCTGAAAAAAAAAAGTTCTTTAAATTTTCGATACGAAAAAATCTTTCGCATGGTCATAGGATCTAATCGGCGCAGTACACGTGAACAGATCTTTCTAAATTAGGACCATATTCGGTAAAATCTCGTTGTATATTAATTAAAAAGCCTCGTCGCTTTTGCACTTTCTACTAGAAATTTAGAAACGTTTTTATCACATTCATAATTTAAGAAAACATATCTTTAGTGTCGAAAGCTTTAAAATTAACCAAAAAAGAAAAAAATTTTTTTTTTTCTGTAATTTAGAAAACCAGATAAAAGTGAAAGTGAAGAAGATTTTTCTCAATGTCTACATTGTCATCAACGTGTACCTGATTATGAATTATTATGTCCAAGTTGTCAACTTGCATTACCTTATTGTATTGTTACTGTACGACGTTTTCTTTTTTTCTTTTTAATGAAATTTAAAATTTTATTCTTTTTTTTTGAATTTAGGGAGCTCATGTTATTCGAGAAGATTTATGTTTATGTCCATCATGTAATTTTCCGGCAATTTATTCAGAATTTTTAAAGTCAATAGAAGCTTGTTAGATTTTATTTTTGTTTGTATTTTTTTTTTTAAAGATATCTGAGTACAGATGATATATGTCCAATGTGTACAACAAAAATTGATGCATCACGTATTATGAAACTTGATAGTGGAGCAGCCGTAGATAGTTTTCTTACACAATCATCGGATATGTCTTGATTGAAATATTCATTATTTTTTATTCCGAAAGTACTTTATATATGTTGTGTATATCATGTTTGTTATATGAATATTAAATAAACTTTCGGGGTATTGAACACAATTTTTAGAAATTGAAATCTTCTTTTTTTTTGACAAATTTTAAAAAGTGATGAATGAAAGCAAAATTACAGAAGGATTTCTTTAGTAGTCAATTTATTTTTGATTAGCAAAAGAAAAACTCTTCTTAAGTTATTAAGAGAAATAATTTTTCCTTAAAGGTAGGCAATTCACTTTTCTCGCTATATCCTCCAATAATACTTTCTTTAATTAATGCGGTGCGAAGCACAGCATTTATGTAGTCCTTCGCGAGTTTTCCTTTTTTAATGCGGTGCGAAGCACAGCATTTATTTAGTCCTTCGCGAGTTTTCTTTTTTAATGCCGTACGAAGCACAGCATTTCTTACAATCTATCATATCATAGAATTGTCTACATTAATATGTTGTGTAGATCATTTCTCAGGAAACAACTTCTTCACCAATATTCTCTCAACAACTTATTTCACCAGAGAAAAAACATCAAAACGATGAACACAAACAATTAGTTCAATGAAATTCTTTTAATAATCAATAAAAAACAACAAAAAACAACAAAAGAACATAATCAAGATCTTAGCAAAAAAAATGTTAATAAAATTTGAAATTGTCCACAAGCAATAACAGCCACTCTAAAAATACAAAAGAATAGATTGAATTTTATGGAAATCTAAGAAAACATACCAAGATCTTGTTAAGGATCAACTTTATGATAATGTCGTTCTTCAAGTTCATCACCTTCCATTGAAGTGTACATTATGTCGCTATCGCCACTTTTTTTTGGATGACCATCACGACCACTTTCGACTAATATTTTTTGAATTAAATTTTGAAGTTTTTCAATTAATTTGTCATTAATTTGATTAATGATAGATGGATCTTCGTTGGATCTATATATCCATTTACCATAAAGTTTGCCACTTGTTGCATCAGAGTGATAAAAACAACGATTATGTGTTTTATTTAATGCAGCAATATAATAAGAACATGGTAAACAAGGCATTTTCGAAATGCCTATCTCAACTTGATTGGAATGATCTTGCTGTTTGCTATTGTTATTTAATATATAATCGATAAGTAAAATTTCGGCATGTAAATGACCAACATAAACAGGTTTTTCGTCAATTTCTTTTAATTTTGCCAAGTATTGATTATAAAAAGAATCACTTGCAGTGTTTTGAAGAATATTCGAGATAATTTCATTTGATGAATGAAGTAGATTTTTGAAGATGTTTTCAAATGCTTCTCGTGGAGTAATATTTAATTGATGTGTTTGTTGAATTGGTGGAACGAGTTTCCATGAGATATTTTTAAATATTTGACCAAACCGTTCTTTATTATTAAGTAAACATTTTAAAAGAACATTTTCTGCCCGTATATGAGCCGATGTCTTTTCGAAATAATAAACACCTTTATCAGCTGTTCCTATCGAATGATTAAGTATAAATTGAAATAAACGTGATTGATAAAGTATCATTGCAAGTCGTGCTGCTAACATGAGCTGATGCTCAGATGGATCGACTTGATTTCCAAATAGTTGATCACGAACTGTTAAGAATTCATCGACTTTTTTCAATAAAAAATCCATATAACTTTCTTCGGTGTAATTTTTGCATATTAAATAGACTTTTTCGGTCATTAATGGATTATCTGTGTAATGGTTTTTATTTGAACGAAGTTCTTCAACAAAATGGCGTTTTTCATCTGTATCCCATTTAACCATTTCTTTTAATCCATCAATGACTGTAGAATTTCGACCAATAAAATACTTCATCATTTTCTTCGAATTATATGCACATACAAGAGAATACAATTGATCTTCAGCTTCTTGTATTGCTTTGTCTTTGAATGAACATAAACTAGCTAAACTGGCATAAATTCGAATTTGACGAAAAAATCGATCGAAATATTGTTCATCATTTATTGTGATAGGTTCATTTCGAGCAATAAATACAATTTTATCAGATAGATTAACATAAACAGCTGTACATGTTGTACTTCCATTTAAAACAAGAGCAAGACTAGAAAGAAATCTTGATTGGTCTGTCACACCTAATACTCGTATTTTGTCTTGAGACAAAAGTACACCCCAAGATAAACGTTCATAAAGAAGAAGATGACTAAGAATAGATTCATTCATTTCAAATCTAGAAAAGATTTCAATGTCTAATTTGAAGATGAAGATTACAATTGAAAAAAATTTTCACACTACCTTCAGAAATATATATATATCAAGAGTGATCCAAAATAAATTTAATTTAAACAGAAATGTTTGATTCGAGAAAAAGAATCGATCAGCAGTATGTTTTCCTTAACAAATAAAAGAAAAAAACAACGTTTATTAATAGAAATCGACAACAGAGTACATTTAGATATTTGGTTTCAATTTATAAAGTACTTGTTAGTACATTTTTTCTAAATGAGAAAGTATCTCAAAGTACAATGACAAACGATTTATTCAAAAAAAAAAAAGAAACCAAGCTACTTCTATTCGCAGCTTTTAATAGAAAATATGTTCCCCTACGACAAAAACAAAATAAAAATAAAAAAAAAATCAAATTAAAGATAATTACAAAAATATACACAAGATTCATTTGACAAAATTTAAATGTTATTACTCTAAATTGTTTTTTTTTCACTATCAATGTGTAGAATAAATAAAAACAAATATCCAATAAGAATAAGAATACATACCTAATATTCAACAAGAATAAACGAAGAAAGTGTATATAAAAAGAAACAAAATACGAAATCTGATAAGAGAAATAGAAATTTCAAATATGAATTTGATAAGGCCTAAAATAGACTACTCTCATGAAGTCGGAACGTGCAACCTCTACGTGGTATGAGAGAGAAACTTAAAGATATCTTTAAGGCTAATGCGCGTACGCAGAAACTATCTGGCAGCAGCGATAGTGGATCGCAACGAAGTACTCGGACTGCGCTGAAGAAGGAAATGGTAAACCACTTCAGTTTTCTTACCAAGAAAATACAATGAACAGACAATCAACGATGTTTCAATTTATGGTGCTGGAAGATGAGACCCCCAAGTCCGAAGGCACCGAAAAGATGACTGGGGAAGAGCCAAGGTCGAGTACAATTAGTACTGTAAATAATGACGCTATTGAATCAAAGCCGAAAGGAAGCTCAATCGCTGAGCACTACAGATACAAGCGGAAAGACCAAAGCTTTTTTAAAACACATAAAATTGGTACATGGAATGTAGGAAGTATGAATCAAGGCAAGCTCGAAATAGTCAAATCAGAAATGGACCGAATCAAAATAGACATTCTTGGAATAAGCGAACTCAAATGGACAGGAACTGATCATTTCACATCAGGCAGCTACGAAGTTTATTATTCTGGCAGCCAGAATACCAGAAAAAATGGAGTGGCCATGGTATTAAACAAGAAACTCGTTAATTCAGTAATCGGATATTATCCAAAACATGATAGAATGATTTCTATTCGACTTCAAGGAAAACCAACGAACTTAACAATAATACAGATCTACGCACCAACTACAGAAGCAGAAGAATCAACAATCGATGATTTCTACATGGATTTACAACAAATACTCGACGACGTTCCAAA